TGTTTTTTTTTTTTTTTTTTTTTTTTCTGAGACAGGGTTTCTCTGTGTAGCTTTGGAGCCTATCCTGGCACTCGCCTCTGGAGACCCAGGCTGGCCTGGAACTCACAGAGATCTGCCTGCCTCTGTCTCCCGAGTGCTGGAATTAAAGGCATGTGCCACCAACGCCCGGCGAGATTTCTAACATTGTACATGGGCTAGAGTTTGTAGTGTTTGCTACTGTTTATTGTGTGCCTGTTATATACCAAGTAGTAGGTCAAGTTTCTGTATTAAGTCTTTTAATTCTTTCACTGCCTCAAAGGTAGCTAATCAATTAGTCTATTAAAATTATAGATGAGCAATTTAACTCAGTTGGTAGAATGCTTGTCTAGCATGCATGAAGCCCTGGATTCAGTCCCCACCCAGCACAGCACAAACTATGTGTAGTGGGCATACTTGCAATCCTGGCACTCAGGTTGTGAGGTGAACCCAGGGTCTTGGGCAATCTGGGCAAACTCTGTCAAACTCTGTGGTGGAATCACATTCTCTGTCTGTCTGTCTGTCTGTCTGTCTGTCTGTCTGTCTGTCTGTCTGTCTGTCTGTCTGTCTGTCTGTCTGTCTGTCTGTCTGTCTGTCTCTCTCTCTCTCTGTGTGTGTGTGTGTGTGATTTCAGCACTTAATATGTAGTCCATATTATGTCCTGAACTTGTGACAGTCCCTCTGCCTTAGCCTCCTAAGTACTGGAATTATAACTGAAAGCCACCATATCCTGCTAGGACAAGATTTTAAGTATAATAATAAGTTCAGAACCATAAAATGAGACCTTGCCTTAAAAATATTTTAAATAAAATACCCTTCTGTCTGGAACTTACCTATTGTAACCCCATGGTTACAATGTGGCTCTCTGAATTTCCTGTTAAAACCATTATTGAATCCAAAAGCTTGAATGATCCAGTTTGGACGTTTGGTGGAGGAGGGGTAACCATTACCACTTCTCTAGGTATAAGGTGAACCCCACACAGGCAGAACTAGAGCTCTGTAGCTACTGCACAGCTTTTCCCAGGACTCCATCTGATTTCCCTCTTTGTTGTTCTTTAAGACTTCCTTTTGTCACACACCCCGCCCCAGTGTCATATAGCCTTTTACTGGCCTCAAACTGAGGCAGACCTTGAACTCCTGATTCTACTACCTCTACTTCCCCAGCGCTGGTATCATAAGTGTGTGTCTTTATTTTTCTGTTGCCAGTACTTGGATCATTGAAGTCCTTATCCCTGTACACAAGTTTAGTATTTACAGCTGTCCTAGAACTCACTAGATCAGCTTAGTCTTTTGAACCCTGTACCACCCTGCCCCCAATGCTGGGATTAAAGGCATGTGCCACCATGCCTAGCTTTAAATCTCTCTTTAATTTTTTCTTTCGTTCTTTCTTTCTTTTTTTCTTTCTTTTTTTTTTTTTTCCGAGACAGGGTTTCTCTGTGTAGCTTTGGAGCCTATCCTGCCACTTGCTCTGGAGACCCAGCTGGCATCAAACTCACAGAGATCTGCCTGCCTCTGCCTCCCAAATGCTGGGATTAAAGGCCTGTGCCACCAACGCCCGGCTGTTTTTGTTTTTGTTTTGTGTTTTTTTTTTAAGATTTTATTTATTATGTATACAACATTCTGCTTCCATGTATATCTGCAAACCAGAAGAGGGCACCAGATCTCATAATGGATGACTGTGAGCCACCATGTGGTTGTTGTGAATTGAACTCAGGACCTCCGGAAGAGCAGCCACTGGTCTTAACCTCTGAGCCATCTCTCCAGCCCCCTGTTTTGTTTTTTCAAGGCAGGGTTTCTCTGTGTAATCATGGCTGTCCTGGAACTCACTCTATAGACCAGACTGGCCTCAAACTCAGAGATCCATCTGCCTCTGCCTCCCAAGTGCTGGGACTAAATAGAGGCATGTGCCACAACCAGCCGGTGCTTTAATTTTTAAGTGTCTTTGGTTTGTTTTATTAATTTTTTCTTTAGGTTTGTTTATTTTATGTATATAAGTGTTTACTTGAATGGGTCTTCCTGCCTCAGTTAACATAATCAAGATTACCCTACACAGGCGTGCTCAAGGCCCATTTCCTAGGAGATAAGTCTGTTAAAATGACAATGCTCACCATGCTCATGGACCATGTTATAATATAATATATAATAGAATAATGGAATAGAATGCTTGGATTCAAGCACCTTTACCCATTCAGCCACACTGCTGACCCATTAACACTTTTTTTCAAGTCCAAAGTCTTTTTTTTTTTTTAAGATTTATTATGTATACAATGTTCTGCCTGCATGTATTCCTGCATGCTAGAAGAGGGCACCAGATCCCATTATAGATGGTTGTGAGCCACCATGTTGTTGCTGGGAATTGAACTCATGACTTTGGAAGAGCAGCCAGTGCTCTTATCCTCTAAGGCATCTCTCCAGCCCTCAAGTCCAAAGTCTTTTTTGTTGTTGTTTGTTTTGGTTTTTGTTGTTTGTTTTGGTTTTTTGAGACAGGGTTTCTCTGTATTACTTTGAATGAAGCCTGTCCTGGAACTGACTCTGTAGACCAGGCCTCGAACCTTCCCGAGTGCTAAGATTAAAGTGTGTGCTACCAGCGCCCAGCTAAGTCCAAAGTCTTTACATGTGAGCTCCTATAGAATCAAACAAGCTACACACTTCAGCTGTCAAGGGCTGTAGGGCCAATGAGCTTAAATGAACCTGTGTCTTTACAAGATGGGTCTCCAAGGGGGAGGTTTTCCCTCAGGATATGTTTCCTGTTGTGTTAGTGCAGAGAGGAGAATCTCTGCAATGGGGCTGATTTCTTTAACAATTGCAGCTACTTTCTCATCACTATTCTGAATGTTCCCTTGTTTTGAAATGGCCTATGCCAAATTAGTCCTTTAGCTTTCAGCTTTTCTCAGGTTCTCAGGATATAAACAGAATGAAAGCACACTCTTGGCTAAAACAGTTCATTAATGGCCTCTAGCCCAGTTCCTGATAGAATCCTTGCTCCCTCTGAAACCTCCTGAGTGGGCCCCCACTGTCCAAGTTTCCTCAGTGTTCTTGCCTTCCAAATTCCCATGAGAATGGCCCATTAAGCTCTGCTTCTAGCTCTCAAGAGCTCTCTAAATGCACTGTTCCAAACTCTTCTATATCTAGCCACAAAACAGTTTCTGTAGCCTAAGGACCTTATATAACCAGGTTCATCAGCAATGACCCCACTCCTGATACCAATTTCTGACTTAGTTTCATTTCCTGTTGCTATGATAAAATATTCTGAAGCAATCTAAGGGAAGCCAGAGATAGGACTTAGTGATTAAAATCACTTGCTGCTTTGGCAGAGAACCTGGGTTCCTTTCCCTAAACCCACATGGCAGTTAACAACTGTTTCTAATTCCAGTTCCCAGGGATCCAGCTTCCTTTCCTTGGGCCAGGCATTCAAGTAGTACACTTAGTGTAGCCAGAACATACATAAAATAAAAATGAATAAATCTTAAAAAAAAAAAAGAGTGCATATTGCTCTTGCAGAGGACCTACACTTGGTTCCCAACACTTATATCAGTCAGGTGTCTTACAACTGCCCGTAACTCCAGCTCAGGGGGATCCAATACCCTTTTATGGGTTCCATGGATGTGCATACTCTTGTGCACATAAACTTGGGCAGGCACGGGTAAATGTACAAAATAAAAGTGAGTTCTAGCCGGGTGTTGGTGATGCACACCTTTAATCCCAGCACTTGGGAGGCAGAGGCAGGCAGATCTCTGTGAGTTCGAGGCCAGCCTGGTCTCCAGAGCGAGTGCCAAGATAGGCGCCAAAGCTACACAGAGAAACCCTGTCTTGAAAAACAAAAAACAAACAAACAAAAAGTAAACCCTGTCTTTAAAAAAATTAAAGTTATAATAAAAATAATATAAAATAAAAAAGCAACTTAAGGGAAAAATTTTTATTTTTCTTTGAAAGGTTTGTTTATTTTTATCTTAACGTGTGTCTTAGGTTTTTATGGCTGTGATGAAACTCCATAATCAAAAGCTACAAAGCGGGGCTGGAGAGATGGCTCAAAGGTTAAGAGCACTGGCTGCTCTTCCAGAGGTCCTAGTTCAATTCCCAGCAACCACATGATGGCTCACAACCATCCATTATGAGATCTGGTGCCCTCTTCTGTTGTGCAGATATACATGGAAGCAGAATGTTGTATACATAATAAATAAATAAATAATTAAAAAAAAAACTACAGAGCAAGTTCCAGAGCAGGGTCCAATGCTACACAGAGAAACCCTGTCTTGAAAATCAAACAAAAAAGGCAACTTGGGTAGTGCCTTAGTTAGGGTTCCTATTGCTGTGAGGAGACACTATGATCACAGCAACTCTTATAAGGAAATCATTTAATTGGCTAGTGTACAGTTCAGAGGTTTAGTCCATTATCAACATGGTGGGACATGGCAGTGTGCAGGCAGACATGGTGCTGGAGAAGGGCTGAGATAATAGGAAGTGATTGCAGACACTGGGCAGTATCTTGGGCATATATAAGACCTCAAAGCGCCCCTCCCCCCCCAGTGACACACTTCCTCCAATAAGACCATGAATACTCCAACATTACCTATTCTGAGTCACAGTCCATTGAGTGAAGCCAAAGTAGAACTCAAGCCAGGTGAGAACCTGGAGGCAGGAGCTGGTACAGAGGCCATGGAGGAGTGCTGCTTCTGTTTTGCTCCTTCTTATCTCTTATTAAGCTTGCTTTCTCATAGAGCCCAGAACCAGCCCAAGGGTAGCACCTCCCACAATGTGCCTTCCTCCAATCAATCACTAATTGAGAAAATACCCTACAGACTAGTCTGGCTGTACAGCCCAATCTTTTTTTTTTTTTTTTTTTAAGATTTATTATGTATACAGTGTTCTGCCTGCATGTATCCCTGTTCATCAGAAGAGGGCACCAGATCTCATAACGGATGGTTGTGAGCCACCATGTGGTTGCTGGGAATTGAACTCAGGACCTCTGGAGGAGCAGTTAGTGCTCTTAACCTCTAAGCCATCTCTCCAGCCCTGTACAGCCCCCATCTTAAGGAGGCCTTTTCTCAGTTGAGGTTCCCTTCTCTCATATTACTCCAGCTTGTGTTAAGTTGACAGCACAATGCATTTGCCTGTGTGTATGCCTATGTACCACATGTATTCCTGTACCCAAGGAGGCCAGAAGAGAACTGGAGTTAAAGGAGTTTGTGAGCTGCCACATGGGCACTGAGAATTGAATCTGTGGAAGAGCAGCCAGTGCTTGTAACTGCTAAGCCACTTCTCCACAGAGAAAGGGTTTATTTTGGCTCATGGTTGAGTCCAGTAATATAGTCCATCATGATGGGAAAGTCAAGGTGGAGACTTGAAGTAGCTGGTTACATTTTATCTATAACCAGGAATAGAGCAATAGTGTATGCTGCTACTCGGTTCCTTTTCTGCATTTATACAGACCAGTGGGTGGATCTTCCCTTCTCCATTCATATAAGCAAGATGATCCTCCACAGGCTGGTCAGAGGCCCATTTCCTACAGTCCACACTAACAAACATAACCATAGACTCAGTACTTCTGTTTTTTTTTTTTTAAATTAGAAACAAGCTTGTTTTACATGTCAATCCCAGTTCCCTCTCCCTCCCCTGCCCCCTGCCCCCCATCTGCCCCTTATCTCATCTCCTTTCTGCTCCCCAGGGAGGGCGAGGCCTTCCATGGGGGATCTCCAAAGACTGTCATCATTTGGAGCAGGGCCTAGGCCCTCCCCCCGTGTGTCTAGGCTGAGAGAGTATCCCTCTATGTGGAGTGGACTTCCAAAGTCCATTGTGTACGAGGGATAAATATCGATCTACTACCAGAGGCCCCATAGATTGCCCAGACCTCCAAACTGACACCCATGTTCAGGGGTCTGGATTGGTCCTATGCTGGTTTCCCAGCTATCAGTTTGGGGTCCATGAACAACCCCTTGTTCAGGTCAGCTGTTTCTGTGGGTTTCACCAGCCTGGTCTTGACCCCTTTGCTCATCACTCCTCCTTCTCCTCAACTGGCTTTCAGGAGTTCAGCTCAGTGTTTAGCTGTGGATGTCTGCTTCTGCTTCCATCAGCTACTGGATGAAGGCTCTAGGATGGCATATAAGGTAGTCATCAATCTCATTATCGGAGAAGGACATTAGCCCCTTGGCCCCAAGGAATCTCTAGTTTGGTCTTATTTTGGGGCTATTCTCCAGAATTAGGAGTGATTCTGGAAGCCAAGTATGGTGGCTTATACCTATGGTCCCAGTACTCAGGAGGCTGAGGCAGGAGGATTGCTCTAAGTCAGGGCTAGTCTGTCTACATAATGAGTTTCAATTTAACTTGTACTATGTAGCAAAATCCTGTCTGGGGGGGGAAAAATGAAAGAGAACAAAATGTTGCTGGGGAGGTTCTGAAAAGACACTAAGTTCCTTTCAGTAAAATATGGTGGTGGCCCTTCACAGAGGGCTATCCACAGCCCTTTGTGAGGGGCTTTTGCACAGAGTGTACACATGAGCTCTAAAACAGCCCCATGACAACTCCACACTTCCCTTCTTCTGGGAGTTGTAGTTAGCTACGTTATTCTCTCTGAGGGTTTTTCTTTGTTTTCATTCCTGAAGGACTGCCACCAACACCGGTACAGCTGCTCTATCCAGTATCCAGATTCAGCAATGTCAAGTCCCTCCAGCATCTTTGCAGATTCCGGATCCGGCAACTTGTCCGAATAGATCATATCCCGGATCTCCCACTGCCTAAGTACAGTGGGGGTCATCAGGGTTAGGGCAGGGGTGGAGGGTTAGAAATGCCTTTGAAGCTTACACGTTGCTCCCAGAGGCCAAGCCCCGAATGAAATATTTTTGGCAATGTTCTTTCATCCCCCATGTCTTAGCACTTAGCTCTAGAACTGTATCATTGCAGCAGAAAGGTAGGAAGATACGTATGTTGGCCTCACTCTGCAGGCCTTGGGCAGAAGGCAGTGCAGTAGAGTAAGGGAGACAGATGTGTGTAAAGAGGGGGAAGGTGAGAATTTTGTCGGGTTGACAAAGGCTATTCAGTAGTTGTAGTCATATAAAGGGATAGAGAAGGGAGGGTTCAATTTCTTGAGAAGTGTCTCCTATAAACAGTACTCTGTCTCCTTGCTTTTCACAGACCTCTGATCTCTTACATCCGAAAGTTCTACTACTATGATCCTCAGGAAGAGGTGTATCTATCCCTAAAGGAAGCCCAGCTCATTTCCAAACAGAAGCAAGAGGTGGAGCCCTCCACGTAGCAGCCTCCACAAAAGCTGTTCAACACAAAGGTAGGAATACCTGCCCCTTTGTCCAGCCAGTAGACATTTCCCGAGTATACTTTTGACCCATGCATTTGTCTGATAATTGGTTCCCTAATAGGTACATACTTCATTTGAAGAAAAACACAACAGACATGAAGGCTTAAAGCAGTGGTTCTCAACCTTCTTAATGCTTCAGCCCTTGAATACAGTTCCTCATGTGCTGATCCCCAACCATAACATTATTTTCATTGTTAATTCACAACTGTAATTTTGTTACTGTTATGAATCTTAATGTAAATATTATTGGAGATAGAGGTTTGCCAAAGGGGTCGTAACCACAGGTTAAGAGCTCTTAAGTCTCTTACCGAAGATCCAGGTTCAGCTCCTGGCACCTATATGGCAACTCAAAAACCATCTTGTAACTCCAGCTCTAAGGGGTGGGGTGCCCTCTTCTGGCCTCTCTGGACACTAGGCATACATGTGGTACACATACATACATGCAGGCAAATACTCACCCTTAAAGTAAAAACAAAATAAATATTATTTTTTCCTTTGTGAGCCGGGGTGGAAGAGGAGAGGGAGGGGGAGAGAGAGAGGAGAGCGAGCTGGGGATATGGTTCAGTAGGAGAGTGCTTGATCCCTAGTACTACTCAAAAAAAAAAAAAAAGAAAAGAAAAGAAAAAAAATTGGTGGGCCTGGTCCACACCTTTAATCCCAGCACTTGGAGGTAGAGGCAGGTGGATCAAGGCCAGCTTGATTTACAAAGTGAGTTTCAGGACAGCCAGGGCTGTTATACAGAGAAATTCTGTCTCGAAAAACAAAAACAAGCAAACAAACAATATTTTTTCTTTTCTTTCCTTTAACCAAGCTGAACATGGTATTATACCCCTGTGAAGCTAGCATTTGGGAGGATGATAACTCAAGGCGCAGTGTAGGGGGCGGGGTGGTATACCGTTAACATAAGGAAGGCAGACACAGTGAGTGCTTGTGCAGCCGCCTCATGCTGCTGTAGCTGATCTCCAGGTGCTTCATGCATGATATAGAAAGCAGGAGCCCGAAGGAAATTCCTTGAAAGGAATTCATGTATGCATTTATTTTCAAAAGGCATGCTTTTTTTTTTTTTTTTTCCTTGAGACAGGGTTTCTCTGTGAAGCTTTGGATCCTATCCTGGCATTCGCTATGGAGACCAGGCTGGCCTCAAACTCACAGAGATCCGCCTAAAGAATGCTTTTTAGTAAGAGTTCCACCAAGGCCCATATCTTGAGATGGGGGCTGAGAAAAAGCAGCCTACCTTTTCTCAGCTATCACAGAGTAAATGTTCAAAAGGATAAATAGACTGGGCAAGGTGGCACACACCAAAATCCCTGCAGTGAGGAGGTGCAGGCCACAGGATCAGAGTTCAAGATTGACCTCGGCTACACTGTAAGTTTGAGGGCAGCTTCATGAGATCCTGTTTCAAACTACACCTCCCCTTAACACACCATAAATAAACAAACAAACAAACAAATAGTGTATGAAGAGAGGCCAGTTAAGCCCACATACTGCTTTTGCACATGTCCTGAGTCCAGTTTCCAGTATCATGTCCAGCAGCTTACATCCTGCTATAACTCCTCCTCCGGGGGACTTCAGCTCTCTTTTCCCGTGTCTGAAGGCACTGTAGTCATGTGCACAAGCCCACCCAGACACATACATGTAATAGAAAGAGAAAAAGAAAAGAATGAGGAATTAAATTGTTGAAGTTAGAGGCCATTCTCCCACGGCCCTGCCGAGTTCTACTCTTTTCTACTCTTTTTTTGTTTTTGTTTTTGTTTTTTGTTTTTCGAGACAGAGTTTCTCTGTGAAGCTTTGGCGCCTATCCTGGCACTCACTTTGTAGACCAGGCTGGCCTCGAACTCACAGAGATCCACCTGCCTCTGCCTCCCAAGTGCTGGAATTAAAGGTGTGCACCCCCCCAATGCCTGGTAAGGTCTATTCTTTTTGTAAGTTGTTTTGAATACAGGTTTGTGTTGAAAATTCTTATTACTGGTAGTAGTGGTTGTGGTAGTGTGGGCATGTGGAGGTCAGGGACAGCTTTGTGGGGTCAGTTCTCTTCTTCCGTCTTTTACATGGATTCTGGCAATCACGCTGAAGTCACCAGGCTTCCCAGGCAAGCGCCTTAAACCCTGGGCCATCTTGCCGATGCTTTTATTTGTAGATAGTCTCGTGTATCTCTGACTAACCCTAAACATCTTGGTTGTCCTGCTTGCATCTCCTCAAGTTGTGGGATTATAGGCATACATCACCATACCTCTGTGCCAGTGGAGTCTTACTAGCTTGTTTGTTTGTTTGAGATTTTATTTTTGTTTCAGTTGTGTGTGGGGAGAGGTGGTGCACATATGAGCACAGGTACATAGGTAGTCCAGAAGAATCAGATCCCCTACAACCATATTCAGGTCCATGCAAGAAGAAGACTGGTCTCTAATTTTTTCCTCTTAACTAGGTCGTTTCTGTATTTTGTTATTTATTTTGGCTTTTCAAGACAGGGTTTCTCTGTGGTTTTGGAGGATGTCCTAGAACTAGCTCTTATAGACCAGGCTGGTCTCAAACTCACAGAGATCCGCCTGCTTCTGCCTCCCAGGTGCTGGGATTAAAGGCATGCGCCACTATACACTACCATGTGTGGTCTAATTAGGTTTTTTTGTTTGTTTGCTTGTTTGTTTGTTTTTGAGGCAGGGTCTCACTATGTAGTCTTGACTGTTCTGGAAGTCAAGTTAACTTCAAACTCACAGAATACTGGGATTAAAAGCTCTACCACACATGGTTTATTTAGTAATAAAGTGAACATTCAAAGATTGGCCCGAGTAGGAAGTAGCATTTGTAGGGAACTATTGTTTGGGCATTCTGACTTCGTGCACGTGCTCACCTTCCATTCCAGTGTCACCTGACATCGTTTGTTGTTAACCCTGTGCTCAGATTCTGGTGGTTGTTTCTAAGCACTGACTTGTGCCTCTCTTGTGTTTCTCAGTCCTATCCCTTGCTCAAAGCAAAGCCTTAAAGTGGGAACTCTAGTTCCCCAGCCTCTGCTCTTTTCCAGGGGATTAGGACATTTACAGTTGCTATCCCATATGTTTTCTTTCTTTAATTTTTTTTTTAAATTTATGCATGTGGGTATTTTGCCTGGATGTATATCTATGTACCACATCCATGCCTAGTGCCAGTAGAAGCCAGAAGAAGGTGTCAGATCTCCTGGAACTGGAGTTACAAATAATTGTGTATTGTTATGCGGGTGCTGAGAGGAGTGGTCAGTGTTCTTAAAGGCTAAGCCACCTCTCTAGCTCCTCCATTGTGTTTTCTTTAACCATATCAAGGTAAGCAAGAGACTAAGAAATGGTTGTTCTGGAATGCTTCGGATCTCTGACTTAAGGGTTCAGGTCTGGATGTAAAACTGTTCATCTCTTTAGTTACATGCAGACTGTGTGCAGGAAGTGATTCCTAGCATATCCTAGTGCTTAAGCATATAGAAAGATTTCTCTGTGTGGTGACCCTTCAGACAGCATTAGGGCAGAAGCTGGGTATGGTGACACATGTTTGTAATCCCAGCACACGGAAGATAAAAGCAGTAGAATCTGTTTTTTATTTATTTTTTTATTTTTTAAGGTTTTGTCTAATTATGTCACTGTGCGGGAGTGTGTTGACATAAGGCAGGTACTTTGAAAGGCCAGAAGAAGGTGTCTGATGAATGCCCTGGCTCTGGAGTTACAGAGCCCACCCAGAGGGGTGGTGAGAATTGAACTTGAATCTTTGAGGAGCAGCAAGAACTTTTATCCACAGAGTCTTCTCTCCAGCCCAGGACCTCTGATTCCATGAGACTACCCTGCCCCTCCCACCCCCCAAGACAGGGTTTCTCTGTGTAGCTTTGGAGCCTGTCCTGGCACTCACTCTGGAGACCAGGCTGGCCTCGAACTCACAGAGATCCACTTGCCTCTGCCTCCCGAGTGCTGGGATTAAAGGTGTGTGCTACCAATGCCTGGCTACCCTGGGCTTCTTAGTAGGTGGTTTTATCCACTGAGCCATCTCAACAGCCCCAAAAGACTTTTCTTTGGAGGTGAGGGCAGGGTCTCATGAGCTCTAACTGGCCTGGAATCATAAAGACCCACCTTCCTCTCCCTTTTGAGTACTGGAATTCAAGGTTTGTGCTACCATGCTCAGCCATCATGCTTTTTGTATCAAAATCCTGCCTCAAAACTAAAAAGATCAGAAAGGAAAGGTTGTAGGGAACTAGAAGCATCTACTGGACTCTGCTCCTTTTTTTAAAGTATTTGTGTGTGTGTGTGTGTGTGTGTGTGTGTGTGTGTGTGTGTGTGTGTGTGTGTGTATCTGCATGAGTGTGTCTGTACCTTTGTGATTTAATGTATACCTATGCATGTAGAAGATTGTAGAGGCCAGAAGAGGGCATTGGATCCTCTGGAACCAAAGGGGTTTATAAGCCACATGTTGGTTTTGGGAACTGAGCCCAGGTTCTCTGCAAAAGTAGTAAGCACTCTTAACCTCTGAGTCATCTCTCCAGCCCCAGGAAATAATAGGATTCTTCAGTTAGAACATGATTTCTGTGGGTGCTGTGCCCTGCAAGAAAACCCACAGCAATAGGAGCACACTCAGAAGTGCTTGGGTGTTGGGGGAACTCCAGACATCATCACACGGGAGGACATGACTAGACTGGAGATGCAGTTAACCCAGAGCAGAGTGTCAGGGTGGACAGCTGATAGAAGTCCTGGGGTTTCCCAAGGAAGAGTGTTTATGTCCTTTGTGGCTTTGTGAAGCACAACAAGGACCAAAATCAACAGAGACAGCATATCTGCTATTATAGTATTTGTGGAAGGGTCTGGTTGTCCAGCTGCTGCTCTGCTTTGGAGCTTGTCTTCTCCTGCCTACAGTGGCTGGTCTCTTCTCTCTCTTTTGGTTCTGCTACTCTGTTTGAACTGTGGTTTTTGTTTTGTTTTGTTTCCTTTTTTACCTAGGCGTTTTGATTGCCAAGCTCCGGTTTGAAGAACCAAATGAAGCTACCACAAAGAAGAACTTGGCAGAAAGAGAATAGAGAGGGGTGTGATTCCGGCACAGACTTTGGCTCCCCTGCAGCTCTGGGGCTTGGAAGAAGCACACAACTATCCTCCAAGTGGAGCTCCCCATTCTACCCAACCCTGTGTCGTCCTCGCCCCCCACCTCCCAGAACTAGATGAGCTCCTTGGAAAACTGGAAGAAGTCTTAACACTGTTTCTTTTCAGAAGTTATGTTTTGATATTTACATTTCTCAGTGTAGAAAACTCAGTGGAAGGCAGCTGGGGTTAATACCCATTGAGTTGAAAGTGGTGTTGGGATGAGCAGGTCAGGGAGAGGGGAGGGGAGGGCTGGTGGTTCAGCTGGCGCCAAAGGCAGCATTGAGTCTTTTCCATGAACCTGGTGGAGGGGTGGGGGGCAGAGAAGTAGAGAAGAAAGAGATTGGTAGTTTCTGAGGAAAGGCATCTGATTCTCATCTCCAGCTTGAGGAGGAGAGAAGGGGTGGTGGGTAAAAGAGAAGCTGGCTGGTCCTGTCTGCTGGAGGAGTAGTGACTCCCCACTCCCTTCTAAGAGTTACAAACCTGGTTTCAGAATCGCCTCTCATGTTCATTTTGTTGTGCTAAATTCCTTAAGCTCAGTGACCCGAAGCAAACCCAGTTCTCCCTCCCCCTTCCCTCCCCCCTCAGTAACTGTACATTTCCTCCTATTGCTTCTGCCAGCTGTCAAGGCAGTGGTGTTTCTTGTCACCTGGGCAGTTCAGTGCTCCAGTCCTGGGCTGCCAGGTTAATGAGCATGCTTCCAGGTTCTTCACGGCAAAGCAAAGTACGTACAGCTGAGGAATCCGTGTTCCCCCATCCATCAGCTTCTGAGAGGAAATGTGGAGGAAGTGAGAAACAGCTACTGTGCTTCTAAAGGAGCCTTCGTATCTCAGCCTTAATGGGATTAACACGGTGACGTACAGAGAGAGAGAGCAAACATGGTGACATACAGAGAGAGAGAGCATCGAGTCTCACATCACGGGTTTATCACTGTAATCCCACCTCTGGGATGGGAGGTGGCAAGGGCTTCCTCATTTTCCCACATTCCTTCTTGCAACCCAGACATTTCCCGAGTCCGACCCCATGGCCCTTCCTTTACTGGTGTGTCTGTCAGTTGCTGATTTGAAGTCACCTGTTTTCCAGATGGATGTGAAGGGAGGAAAGAACTTTGGTGCTTGAGCTGTCTTTGTGTCTGAAACTGGCCATGGCCAGTCGTAGGCTACATAGGTATGCTCTCCTAAAGAGTTACTCTGGAAGAAGTAACTGTCAAGATGGACAGTGGAGCTGTTGGGTCTTTCTTACTCTCCTGTAGTGTTTCATGTGACAGCCTCCTGCGTTCTCTTTGCTTGTGTCTGTCTCATATGACAAACTAAACATAGTCAGGTTGGAGTTCTAGATGGTTTAGGGTGAAGCTCTGTGTCTTGAAAACTTAGAAAACTATATCATCTGGAAAGTGGCCTGTGGGCTTCCTCTGTGTAGAGTCACCTTCTTCCTTAGCCAAACAGAAAAGAAATGAACTGTGTATGTGTTAGTTAGACCACTTCTGACTTCCTCAAGATGGGTCTCATGGTACCCTTTTCCTCCTTGATTCAGAGATTGACATACCTGTGAGTTCTGCCTCTGGAGGGTACAGGTCACAAACCATCATACACACGGAATGGGTCGATCTGCAATAGAGCCCCAAATCTAGAATCCATAGAGATCTTAAAGTGGTTAGTATGTAGTTTGGAGGGATTCTCTCTCCAGTTTCAGTCACCCATAATTTAAAAAGTAGTTTTCATCCTGTGTTTGCATGGCTCTGAGATATAGGTACTGTGGAATGGCATATGAGGTAGAAGACAAGATCCCTTCCCTGAACTATATATAAAGTGACATGCATATAAAGGAATTGGAAAGCAACTCATTGCAGCAGAAGATCAAGGACCATCTTTAAAGACAGAGTGGGTGTGATCAGGGTAGACCAGATGGTCTCGGAAAGCTCTGTGGTGATGAGGCTTTGGGTTGTAGGCGAGGGCAGTGTAGCAGAACACTCAAACTAAAGTACAGAAGGAGAAATCTGTGGCAAGTGTGCAGCTGCCTTAAATAGCAGCATCAGAGTCCTGTTTGACCACAGCAAAGGTCTAGACTGCAACTTCCCAGTAGTTGAACAGGTCTGAAGGCTAAGGGGGTGTGAAGGTGTGGTGAAGGACAAAACTAGAAGTCAGCAGACACCCCTGTGGTCCTGGGTTACCAGTGGAGAATTTATATACTCAAGTGCAAACCAGACCTGTGCGGAGCATGGGCAACTCACTGTTTTTGTCCTAGGAAAGTGTCCTGCTGCACTGTGCTCATGATCTGCATGTGTTTCAGACACAGCCCAACTACAGTGTGGGAGATGGCTCCGTGAGGCATGGCTTGGCACCTGGGAGGCCTTGTGTAGAAGGGAGTGGTTGGGGAGAGCAGTTGAGGCCGTTGACTACTGCAGGCTGGCTAGACAATGGAAGCAGGAGCAAGGCCAGAAGTCAGCATTTGTCTTCGCCCTCTGCCTATGCTGGGCAGTGCTAGTGGAAATGCAGTCCACAGAGGGGACTCACTTGTCTTTGGTGGTTATGTACCAGCCACAAACCAGGAAAGGCCATCACTTCTAGAGACCTGCTGTGGATTTCTGAGTTGTGGTTGGGGAGTCACTACTCCCAGGAGCAGCCTATGCAACCTTCATTTGTTTATAACTGATCATTTGTAACCTTCCTCAAGATGGGTATGTGCCAGTGTAAGCTAGTGGCAGCCACTGCTGCAACCTATTACAACTTGAAATGCATGTCTGCTGGTAGCATAGGAATGAGGGGAGCAGGGGCTTGGCTGTGGGGTCCAGCTGACCTGGTTTGATATTTAGGCTGACCATGGCCTAGTTTGCTGCTTATGCCAAGGTGAAGTAAATGTAGATGGCAATGCCAGCCTCTTTAAAGATCTTGGAAGTGTCCTGTTTCCCCTTTCCCACTGTCACTTAGGCTAAGCCACTGTTTGAGGCCAAGCAGTGAGTGATGGGATGGATGGCTACACATTCTCCTCAGATACACATCCCTTAAGGACTGGAGAATAGTTCAGAGTACAGTCCCAGGAAGTACCCCGGGGAGCCAACACCCTTTCAGCCTTTCCCCATGCTCCTAGAAGGGCCTGCTTGAAGCCCCTATCCCAATGGGAAGTAGGGACAGGAGAAACTTCCCCCAGGTAAGATATTTTCCTTCCTTGTTGCCTCTCCTGACCTTTGAACCCAGGAGTCAGAGGTCAAGTCACTGAGATGTAAGGAGCTGCCGCAAGTTCTGGAAGTCTGCGTGAATGTGTCCTCATTTGTAGAAGTCTTGTCTGCAGTCGGAGTGTTGAGAGCATCTCCACTAGCAGGGACTAGGATTTGTTTTCCACTTTAAGAGAATGGCATGCCCCCTGTGTGGAGGGGAAGAGCTCTGAGTTAGACATTTTCCCTATGGGAATCCTCTTGGTTTGGTTTGTGGGAAGAGGGGAGTGGATAAATGGTTTTTATTTCTAGTCATCAACACAGCTGTCCTTACACTAAATTTGTGCTATTGCATACATGTAGCCATCTTTCTTTTCACTGCAGCAGTGTTTATCAGTAGTTCAAAATGATTTATTTGCTCCTGGGGAGTAAAACCTTTTTTATTAAAAAGAGAAAAAAAAAAGGAAAAAAAAAAAGAAAAAGAAAGAAAGAAAGAAAGGTATGCCCCATTAAGATAGCTGTAGGATTATTGGGCCACAAGAGTCAAGTCTGCAAGTCCCCATGGTACATCCCGTTTTGGCATTGGAGCCTTTGTGCTCAGTACAGTGTGCCAGGAGGCCTTCCTTGAACACGTGGAGAACATTTTGGGGAGTGAGATGGGAATGAGTCACCGAGGGCTCTGGGAACTCAGTACTGCAGTTGAAAATAGAGTACTGATTCTGTAGTCCGCCAGAGAAGGGAACCTTTCTTTACATGCAGATTTCATGTGTCCTTGACTTTTCATTGCTTCCTGGTGTCCTGGGTAGGGGTCACCTAGTTTTCTTCTGGTGTCCCTCTTGTCTTTCCTGTCCTTTGTCCTGTCCCTTCCCACTTCATCTACCTCCCGGAAAGCCAATCCCGCATGCTGAGTTTGTGACATGCCTTCACTCCCATTTCATCTTAGAGGGTTTTAAGGGTCCCTGGAGCTGCTCCCTGCCCACCTATCCTCCTCACAATGCCAAGAGGCATCAAGGAGCAAACAAAAGCAGCCAGCTGTAGCGGGCAGACAGCAACATTGGATCGCAGCTGGACTGCGATGGCAGCTGCTTCTGGAGACAGATAGGGAAAATAAGACACTTCTTCAGCCCACTTGGGTGTGACCCCTACTGTGCACACAGCTCAGTGGACAGTGGGTTGGTCTGACCACTCCATCCCTGGTGCTCCCAAGAGGGACAGGCAAGATCCAGGCACCGCACTGGGCAGGCCAGACATTGGGATGCCCACACTGGTGCTGCAAGGCACAGGCACTGCTGTGCATTCTGGTGGTTTTTCAGAAACTCCATGCTGAGGGGTGTCATTCTGGACTCAGTGGTTAGGGGGTTCTTCACTAGAGGGGAGCCATACTCCTGCAACCACTCTGTCTGGCTTAGCCACCCCTGCCCTCCGAGCCAAAGCGTGGCCTGGTTTTTGTCTTCCCATTTAGTTTTCCTCCTTTATTCTCCCTTTTTGTGCTTAATTTATTAAAATAGTTGCTGTATAATTTATTTTCATAAAGTATAAAAATAACTAAATGGTTAAAATAGACTTGCAGGCCAATCTTAAATGGGTGGGGGGGTCTGGGGTGGGATGGGGAAAGGGAAAGATGTTTTGATATAAACAAATGCACTTTGGGTGTGTTTTGGTATTTTTCTGGGCATAGAGGGGTGGGTGTTGGGATGTCCCTATAGATTAGTTCCAGAATGGGGTGTTTGTAAATACTGTATTAATAGGCATGTTTGACTCTTGTAAAAGGGACATTAGTAGCTGCTGCAGGTCCTGTTTGGAAACCCTGTGTATAATTCCCGGTTTTTTGTAAGTGTCAGTGCGGGAGACATTTGACTCTTGTGTTTGTATCTCCTTTTTATGATTGCTGTACCGACCCATGTCTTTTTGGGGAGGGATGAAAAAGAGATTTGAAATAAAAATGTTTAGAAATGATCTGTTTATTAGAATGTGTGTTTTCCAGTCCCTCTCCTGACTCTTCATCCTTTCTCAGGCATGGGGTCCCTGAACTGGCAGCCATTGCAGAATACACCCAGTTCATCTTTAAGTAGAGTTGTTGGAAAATTCCTGAGGCTGATGGCCACTGCTCAGAGCTGCCCTAGGAAGTGCGGGAACATTCCAGAGAGCCTTGAGGAGAGTGGGCAGATGCCAGAAGCCTTCCTGCCTGGGTGACCAGTGGCACATTTTATGTGGCAGTAGCCATCCTGGTGGGGCTAGCTGTAAGGCTTCCTTGCCGCTTTTCCAGCCTGGCCCTCCTAGCTCTTGGGCAAGGCTGTTACTTTCCTGGTTGATACTGGTGTGTACTGGGAATAAGTAACCCCACCCACCATTTCCCACTTCCTCTTCCTCTTCCTGCTTAAGGGGCCAGTCTGCTGCCTGGAAACTGGCTGCAGGCTTCCTGCTGAATTCTCTGGGAAGCCTCGTCACTAGGCTAATCAGAGGCAGCCTAGGAGTCTGCCAGCCCCAGTCAGCTCCTGTGGGCATACAGTTCCTTGTCATGACACTGTTCCTGATAGTCTGACAATGGCAGTAACTCCTGAGTAAAATTTCCTTCGTCCTTGAAAGAAAAGGTGTCTCCAACAATAAAGTCAACAAATTACAAGGGAGGCTTCACTAGCCATTTGGGAGCCCATCATAAGAGATGGCAGCCAGAAGCACCTGAGTTCAACAGGCCTCATCTAGTGTGTTATCAGAGTATACTTTTCCAAATGCAGTACTAATTTTCATTGTTCCAACTCCAGATCATTTGACATGGTGAGGCCTGCTGGGCTCTAAGCTTAGGAAAGCCAGGTACAGGTCCCCTCTGACTTGGGCCATAAAACCCTTGGAAGAATGGTCAACTTGGGCCCAAAATGTTCTTCACTCTACAACTTGAAACCACCTCTTCACCTCCTGTGGTTTGCCCACTTGCAGCTACTGACACCCCTCACTTCCACCATGGCAGAGCTGGTCATGCACATGCTCAACTACAAGTCCATGGCAAATGACAGTGCGGAAGATCCTCTTGCTAGCCTGCCCCAGGCTCCCTGATGGAGGTGACGTCAGGATTGTGTTTCCCCATCTTTCCTGGCTCCTCCCACATCGCAGTATGAGCATCTCACACTTCATCCTCGGCATGTTTGTGTCAATTGGACCCAGCACCTGCTGTTTTTCTCTGTTGTTCAGCCAAAAGCTCAGAGTTCATCCAAGCGAACAAGTGAGTTGTCATTAGGATGCCTTCCCAAGGGATTCAGAAAGGGTGTGTGGGGAGTGCATTGTTAAACTACTCAGGTCTCCATAGAAGCTGGGATTGTCAAAAAACCCTTTGCCATATGTGAAATTTAGGTGTCCCCCTTTTTATCCAAACAATTTCAGCAATTTGCCAAGTGGTCTTGTCTCCTATTTCCTCCCTCCCATCCTTTCAAAAATCTTCTAGGGTCTGGAAGACGGCTCGCTGGCTCACAGCACTTGTTCGTGCAGACGGCCCAGGTTTGGGTTCTCAGCACCATGGTGGCTCACAACAATCTGTAACGGCAATCCTGGAGGTCACCTGGTACAGATACATGCAGACAAAACATTCATACACATAAATCTTTAAGAAAATAATTCCTGGGGCTGGAGAGATGGCTCAGAGGTTAAAAGCACTGGCTGCGCTTCCAGGGGTCCCAAGTTCAATTCCCAGCAACCACATGGTGGCTCACAATCATCTATAATGAGATCTGGTGCCCTCTTCTGGGGTGCAGGCAGAACACCATATACATAATAAATCTCAAAAAACAAAAAAAACGAAAAGCAAAATGTAGATAAAGAGAAACAGATTAAAACAAGAACTAAGATAAGACCAAGCATTCATAACTAATAACAAATCTCCATGTCATGATTTGGGAGATGGTTGGTAGCCCTGTCTAAAAATGTTAAATTAAAAATAAAAAATTTCCTCTAAAACCACATGTTTTAAGCCTGTCAGAAGGCTTAGCAGGTAAAGGTACTTGATGCCAAGGCTGACTACCCGAGTTCAACCCTTAGAATGTATATGGTGGATCTGGAGCCCACATTATGAAAAGGAGAAAATTGACTTCTGAAAATTGCCCTCTGACCTACCTACACACACACACACACACACACACACACACACACACACACACACACAAACACACACACACACACACACACAAACACAGAGCGCGAGGGGGGGTACACACTCAGACTGAGGGAGAATAGAATAGCATCATGGACAGGTCTTCCTGGCCGAAATCATCTCTGGGCTTGAATAGGGGCCTGGGATGGAAGCCACACTGGACTAGAAGCAAGTACCTTTGGAAGAGTTTTGAGCTGCACTGGCCAGGAGAGAACCCAGCACGTGTGAGGAGGCTGGGAGAGCAGCCAACCCCTGAATTCGCCTGACACCGGGTTGGATCTCCCCCAAGTGGTTGGAGAGAAGCGCCATCAGGATAGGGCACGCCCTTCGCGGGTGCCAGCGCCTACCTGTAACACTCAGGGCTAGGGTTGGCCAAACTGAACTGGGCAATGAACCTTCAGCAGGGAAGGGAATTCCGAGGCAGCTGCTGGACACAGGACAGGAACTTCGCTTCACCTGGTTCTGGGGTTTCTGGAGCCAGGGGCGCGGGTGGGAGTGGACGGAGCCAGGTGAACCTTCGAGCTTCTCCTGCCACCTAGTGGCTGCTCTAAGCCAGGCCCTCGGCTGCACTCACAGGCTGCTGCTGGTGGGTGAGGCTGGGATAAACACAAACAGCGTCTCCAATCCTCTTCTGAGGTCGGATTTCGCCTTGGCCAGTTGGGGACCCTGGCTTGTCCCGCACCCTCCGCCTGGCTATACGTAAGGGACAAAACCCCTCTTTGAGGTGCAGAGAGAGCTATGTTTTCTAGATTCACTGATGGTGTGCGGAGCTGAAGCCGACAACCCCACACTGATGGGTGCCACTATCACAGCTTGTCCCACTCCGGCTGGCTTGACGATGGCCAGTGACAGATGCTGGGACTCCTGCCCAGCTTGGTGTCATCCTAGGATTCTGTGTAATTCTCCAAATATGTGCTGTTTCGTGCAGGCCCTTGGGTTCCCATAGATTGGGTTCCCTCCTCTGGAGGATATGCCCTTCTCCCCCTAAGATGACAAGGGACAACAACCACCCCGAGGCCTGCTAGGGAAGGCCAGCCGCGCCTGTGCTACTCCTGGGTCTCCTGTCTAGCCCTCGCCTAGGGGAGAAGGCTGCTTGCGCTGAGGTCTTCATTGCATCATGTCAGGCTCCTGCCTAGGAAGCAGCTGCAAGGATTTGGGGAGGGACCAGACCCTGGGGGAGGAGCTTCAGGAGGGATAGGGAGTCATGTGGAGGGGCCTTGTTACCTGCTGTGAATCCCGAGTAAGGCGCCTAGGGATACCTGTGTGCACTTTGGTGCCTGCCACCTTTCCGGACTGACGCCCATTCTCCTCCTCCAGGCCTGGCAGCCTCAGCTGCACCCGGCCAGATTGCATCATGCTTGGCTTTGTTCTCAAAGAAGCAGGTGCAGGAGTGCCACTTCCCTCTCATCCTTTCTGCTCCCTCCTGGGCCACCCTCCTTTCTCCCTTTGGGGTTCTCAACACCCCATTAGAGGGAGGAAGGCAGAGTAGGCTGTATCCCCCCAAAAGGAACACCAGGTGGCATAGCAGGATACGGACTATCAGAGCTGAGTGACAAGGTCAGAAACGTTCTCCTGCTTCTAAAGCTAAAAATAACACGCGCCGAATTAATTTAACCGTTGTAGGAAGTACAAGGTGTGTGTGTGTGTGTGTGTGTGTGTGTGTGTGTGTGTGTGTGTGTGTGTGTGTGTGTTTACCCAGTGCTTTCTGCCCATATTCTTGTGTGATCCTTTCTGCAGTCACCTGAGGTGGGGCTACTGTCACCTGTTTTCCGCTGGAGTCCAGAGATGTGAGAATACTTGTTCAGGACCACCGGGCCACTCAGACAGACCTTGGGTTTGAATCTTGGTCAGCTTTCCTTTTGACAGACTTCTCCAAGAGACGGTTGGAAAATTCCATGCTGACCGGAACTGAACATTTTCTTTATAAGGGGGGCTTGGGGCTGGCAATAGTGACTCATACCTGCAATCCTAACAGTCAGGAGAGAGCTGCAGGAGGGAGTGCCATGAGTTCAAGACCAGCCTGAGCTTCATAATGAGTTAGAGTGCAGTCAGGGTTACAAGTAAGACCTTGTCTTAAAATGTTAGATATTCGAAGGGAGTGTGTTGGAGTGCCCAACACACTCATTAGGAGGCAAGAGTGTCTTCCTGTCTTTTAATTTGAGGGGAAAAAGGAAGCTTCCTACCCAGTAACCTGGCTGTGCCAGCCCTATTCCCCCCACTGCTCCACCCCTCAGGTGGTGGTGCTGCTGCAGACTCTGGTTTAGGAAGGGTCCGCTCGCTGCACCGCCTCCCACAGGGGAGATAGTTATATGGGCTTTAACTAGGTCTGCATATAATGACCCCAAAGGCTGGGCAGAGTTGGTGGATGGTATCACTCCTTCTCTGTGTAAAGACTCTACTTGTAAATCTATGGTGTTTGGGGTGTGTTTTGTTTTGTTTGTTTTTCCCCAAGACAGGGTTTTTCTGTATAGCTCTGTCTATCCTGGAACTTGCTCTGTAGATCAGGCTGGCCTCAAACTCACAGAGATCTGCCTGCCTCTGCTTTCGGATTGCTGGGATTAAAGGTGTGCGCCACCATGACCCGATTTGGAGTATGTGACATTGAGGTTTCACAATAAAGTCACCATGCAAGCCGGGCGTTGGTGGTGCACGCCTTTAATCCCAGCACTTGGGAGGCAGAGGCAGGCAGAACTCGGGGAGTTCGAGAACAGCCTGGTCTACAAGAGCTAGTTCCAGGACAGCCTCCAAAGCCTCAGAGAAACCCTGCCTCTAAAAAACAAAAACAAACAAACAAAAAGTCACCATGCATTTGGCTAGA